ACTATTGCATACAAACCTTCATTAGTGACTAACTCTGAAAACGTGTATCACATTTTCTTGACTTTCATTTTTTAGCTCATTTACTTCCAACTAAGTAAACAGAAAAGCAACCATTTTACATTTTATAAATAACACCTAAGCAAAATATAAAAACTCTTATAGCTGTATCATTCAGTGATTTCAGGGACAAGATTAATCATAGTTGTATGTATATATCTATGCATTATTTATTAATTAAGTACCTTAGATAAGGAAATCAATAAATAATCTGCCAATTCTTCTTGACGAGGAAGGTCATCTGGGTCAACTTTCATGATTTCTTTCCAGTTTATATTAGGGGCCATCCTGAACTATTTCACTGTGCTTTACCTTCTGTAACAAAACAGGCAGGTATTAGCATTTTCAAGGCAAAAACATTACTGTTTTTACAGCAATCTGCAGTTTTTACATATTACGTCTATGGTGTTAGCGAAGAGCTATGGCTCCTTAACCGCATAACAGGTAAGTGGGCAAAATAATCCTCATCAAAATTACAGCAATTAGCACAAACCATCAGATACTGTACTGGCTAAATAAACAATGACGGATTCCTTTCTAAAACTAACCTAGGTCAGAACTAAGGTTGAATCCCCTCCTCCACGTCCCCCTACCGACGCGAGAGAACATCTAAGGGTGCCAAGCCCTGGGATCCTTGGAAGGCTGAAAATGAGCCCTGATTCGGAGAAACTGGAACTAAAGGTAAAATTTTAAACTACGGTAATTACCGATTGAAATGAGTGCAGTTGGGCCGAGGAAATCACAGGTGAAGCTAGAAGAAGGCAAACGGACTGCAGACCAAAGACTAAGGGGTCGGGAAGCTGGACTGTTGCACGGGACCCTGAGGCTTAAGGAACCTGCATGGGAAGGAACTCGCTGCTCCCGCTCACCAAAATCCACCTACCTACACCAAGTCTGGCAACCAGCAGCGGTGTCTCATCTACTGCAACCCCCGAGCCCGGTCCCGCCGCGCAGCCTGACCGCTCCCTAGCGCGGTGACAACAGAACCCTAGATCCCGCCACCTGGTCCGGAGCAAAATATAGCGGCGACGGCTGCTAGGCGACCCCATTTCCCACCTGGCCAAGGCCGGAAAAGGCCCCGGATGCAAGTTGAGCCTACATTTCACGACGGTGGATAATGCTTTACGTTTAGACTCCCCTGTGGCAAAGACTGTAGAAGGCGCGGGATGAGGACTCCAAATCCCAGAGTGCACTTCTCCCTGGCGGCTTGTGCATGCTGGGAGCTGAAGTCTCCGGAAAGAAGAGGGAGGCCGCCCCGGCGTGCAGTGCTGCGGGCCGCGCTCGTACCGGGGCGCTGGGGGAAGGCGCTGGAGGCGGGAGGCGCAGGGCTCAGGCGCGTCTCCGCTCGTGACCTGAGTGCGGTAGACGATGACTGCGACTCCCAAGGCGCCGCCCGCCGGACCGCTCTTCCTGAGGTTTTCCTCAGCCATCTCCTAGGATACAACTCCCAGGTGAGGTGGGACTGCTGGTCAGCGGCGGGAGTGGAGTTGAGGGGAGCGGTCCCGGCTTCGAGAAGCTCGGACCATGTGGGCGGAAGGACTCGGTCCCG